CTTTGCAAACAATAGTTCGTAATCTCTCGATGCTTTATTCCCTTATACCCAGCTTACATAGGGCATAAAGTCAGGTCGTCCAATCTTATGGAACTTGCCTGACTCAACCAATGAGTATACACGAACAGGTTGCACAACTACTTCTCTCTTCCTTTTGGGCATATGACTAGGCCGTTCATCTTAGAACAAGGCTTAGTCACCCAGAACTGTTTAATATCCAAATTATATATACTTCTCTGAGCTTGGTGTTCAACAACCGGGCATAAGACTGAGCCGTTCATCTTAGAACAAGGCTCAGCCTGCCCAGGGTTACCTTCCAGTATACTCTTAATTATACTCTCTTCATTTTATGATAAGTTATAGCCAGGCCGTCCAATCTTATGGAACCCATGCCTGACTAGCTTGTTCATAGATAGGATAGTATAAAATAGAGCCAATTTTAAACCCTTTGGGTTCCAGCATGTGCGAGGCATTGGGTCAGACCGTCCAATCTTATGGAACTGGTCTGGTCATCTGCCAGGTTCGTTTCTCTCTTATCCACTGTGTATGGCATGAGTCCAAGGCCGTCCAATCTTATGGACATGCCCTGCCCTCAGCAATGATTATCCCCTCAGAATAAAACAAGAGGCGGGCTGAGCCGTCCAATCTTATAGACTTGCTCAGACCTCCTCGATCAAAAACAAAAGAAATAAAATAAACTCCAATCAAACATTGCAACCAAACCCTCCAATCTTATGGTACAGGTTTGGCCCCTGAAAAGTCAGCGACAGTCAAGCCCTCACAATTCAGAGCAATCAGACCGTTCAATCTTTTGGAACTGGTCTAACTCTTCATGCAATTCAAAAAATAAAACACAGCGGTCAGGCCGTCCAATCTTATGGAACTGGTCTGACCCCATAGGACCCATTCACGCTCAAGCAAAACCACATTTCACCCACCCTTCCCCCTGATGCAACCCCTTGTGTTCACAATCTGCCTTCACGCAATCAACAACACTGAAACTGCGATTGCACACACATTCCTTTATTTAGTCTGACTTGTGTCTTGTCAGTTGAACCAAAGCCAAAATAGGGGTGCACACAGTATACTCAGCCAACATAACAGGACATACAAGTAGAGGTTATACAAGGAGGTATAAAGCGAAAACAAAAGGTCACCTTTCAGTTCCATGCCTCCAGAGCCTCGCCTAGGTTCCGGCAGAGCACCCGCAATCGGTGGGGCGAACCTCCCACAAAGGCCTTGGCGCGGATTACGGGTTACAATCCCGACTGCCGCCTTCCTCTCAGAACCAACAGACTAGACTTAAAGTAAGAAGGGCGGAAGGAGAAAATTTTAGACTCTCAGATCCAAGAGGGGTGCACTCAGACTCGCAGGAGAGGGCCTCGATATCTTCAGTCGCCTGAGGGCCCCGCAATGGCAGCCAAAACGCTCCGCCGCTGATCAAACTAACGAGTGTTGACCCATCGACGACTTCTCCAATCTGCAACAGTGACCCTCTTATTGTTGCCTAGCCACTCCCCCGGGTCATAACAGCCACGTACCGCTGCTACGCTCAAGTGAAAATACAACCTCAGTCTGCCGACAATGCGTGCCCAACACTTGTGCCCAGCAGCATGGCAGGGTCCAACGGAATTCCGCAGTAAACCAATCGTACACAATTAATCAGAGGGGCATGACAGCCGCAGGCCTGTCAGTCACCAACCGTGTGAGTCGTGCTAGGGGGAGTAGACAGTCTGCAGCCTCAAGGCCCACCTCCAACTCCCCTATTCCGCAGGCTGAGTGACTCACCAGTCAACAGGTAAGCCTGCAACTTCACTGCCCTCCTCCCGTTGTTACTTCTCCCTTCTCACCAGCACGACCAAGTCCTTAATGCATCGAGTTGTCAGCGGGGCGGAATCCGCCTGATACCATTGGGAAAACAAACAGCAGGCCAACTGTTGTAAACAGGGTGGTCGACAGCAAGCCAAGGGCCAAGGCCAGAGTGGCAATGACGATCCGCACCACAGGTAAGATCGTACCTCCCCCTTTCGACGCTGCAACCCCGCTTTCTCTTGGGTGGCTCCGCACTGCTAACTTAACCCCCGGGGTAGCTCCTCCCCTCTCTCCCTCTCTCCTGCCTTAGTGAAACAATGGCAGGGCTTGACTAGCCATGACGCCGCAGAGCGCCCGTTGATACCGGTTGTGCAGCGTTCACCAAGTCTTGGCAGGTGTTCAACTTGCGATTGGACTCACACTCCTGCGATCCGTATGGTGGACCACACACCGGTCGACCAATAGGCCTCCGATTCCGCATCTCCAGGCCTTTGCCACCTGTTCCCTTGTCTTCACAGCTCGCACACAGTCAAGCCATCCGTCAGTACAATCAATCATCAGCCATCGGGTGAACTTGCAGGCTCCCGGTCAGCCTCCAGCCATCCCGCTCGCGCTCCCGCCCACCGGCAAGTGTGCATTCCCACCCCTGCTGCTCACCCCTCCCTACTCGGTAGCTTGTCTGTTGTTGTCGACACGTTACTGTCCATCGCCCCACAACGCTCCTGGCCAATCCCCCCCCCCCGACTTTGTTCGCGCAAGGCAAACATGCTCTAGGTACAGGGTTGTCAATCAATCGCGTAGATCGCTTCGGTAACAACAACTGCGATCTTGATATCAGGTAAGTGCCTCCTTCCCCGCCTCTCCCCTCACAGTGTTAGGATGAGCGAAATCG